CAATCCAGCCATTAAAGATGTGAGATACTTTGTGGTGTGGTGTGTGTGTGTGTGTGTGTGTGTGTGTGTGTGTGTGTGTGTGTGTGTGTATGTACAGGAAAACCTTCGTGCAATCACTAATGAAAAACGAAGACTGCCTAAGCAAACCCGTAAGATACTAAAATTCTGAATATAATGATTTTAGGGCTTTGCTTTGCTTTTGAGCCAGTCTTCTCCAGACTGATTTCGTACTCAGCCCCCTCTGACTATGACTCTTCTAATGCTGGGATCGCAAGCCTCAACCACTAGGCCCCACTTGATTTTTCTTAAGTATTTAACCTCCCCCTGCATATCATTTTTTTTAAATAGCAAATTCAAGAAGAACTTTATAAAGCATTAAAACATTGAATTTGTTCCATTTCCAAAATACTTTCTAAAAATCCTAAACTGTTTACAAATTGACTTTTTTCCTGTTCCCTATTAAGGTTTCCTAATGCTCTGATTGACAAACCTTCCAAGATAATTTATTATAATATCTTTTGTCAATTAAATGGTTAATCCCACATTCTCTTGAGTGCCCAAATTAGATTCAGAGTTAGTCAATTATAAATGAAAATAACAAAAATTAACCAATTACACAATAAACACATGTTAGAATCACACAATTTACCAGGTATTGTCATAGGCCCGATTCTTCTAAAGGTCGTATTTCAAGTATGAAATACATTCAGTTTTCATATTACTGAAGTATTAACATTATACACATAATTATTTTAAATACTCCTACACTTATTTCTGATTATTTAATATTCCTTAAAAATGCCATTTTTGTTAAAAATAAGTATGTCTTAGATATAATTTTGGTATTGCCTTTTAGGAGAGCCTTTGCAGCTTCCTGACGGTTATAACTAATCAAAGCGTAGCCGTCACCTTACCATTCTGAAATCTCGGTGGGAGACGGAGGCTGCCATTTTCAAGGTTATATCAACAGTTTTCAGCTGAAGAGGAAGTGAGCATGAAGCCCACGTGTTCTTTAGTGGCACCATGCTGCTGTCAGGTTTTCAGTTTAGTGTGCAATCACACTCAGAATCCATTGTATTCACTCAGGACAACGCAGTGTTGTGCCACACTGTTCTGTGAGTTTAACTGCAAACATCGCCAGGACCATCGCCGGGACCTCTCAGGGCCTGCTTTGGAAAGTCTGTCTGTTGACGATTCATCTTCCCTCATAGAAGCAGGGCTTCGCATACCCCCCCCCCCCCCCCCCCCCCCCCCCCCCGAGTATCCAGCCACTCCTCCCAACCAGTTGTATGTAACCCTCCCCTAAAGGTCCATGGTCTCTGGAGAGGATATAGAGCATATAGCTGGGAAAAGAGGAGAGAGCTTCATTTATGAAGCTACCATCCTTGCTGGTTTCAGACCTTCCAGTGTGGCTGTCTCCTATGTTCCTATCTATAAGCCTCACCCACTGCTCTGGAAGTAAGCCTAATAAATTCATTTTTTTTTCTGAGTGAACTTTGGTAGAATCATGCCTTTGTTTGTGGTTGAAAACTTAGGAGGAAGGATAGACATTGTTTGCATCTCTACCAGGGAATGAATTTTAGCAACAACAATGAACCCTGAGTATCCACAAAAGATTAAGTCCTTAAGTCTGGATACTCGAATCTCTTACATACAACATTGTATCTAATTACAGCCCATGGATATATACTTTTAATAATCTCTAAATTGTAATGCCAAAAACAATGGGAGTGTTATGAAACTAGTTGGTGTCTTGCATTATTTAGGGAATAATGATAAGAAACCAAAATCTGTACATGTTCTATACATCTGTAATGTTTTGGGGGATATTCCCTTGTTGTTTGAAATCAGTGAATATAGAGCATAGCTTTAATATATATATCATACTTAAATATATATAAATAATATATTTGAATTATATATATAAACATAGTGTGTGTGTGACAGAGAGAGAGAGAGAGAGAGAGAGAGAGAGAGAGAGAGAGAGAGAGAGAGAAAAGCAGAAAAAGGACCATTATGAACTATCGTATCATGATCTAGAAAATGAAGATTATTTTCTCTTTAGGATTATTGTGTTTGAGTAATGATTAATAATAATTTTATTTGTTGTGTGTATGTCAGGTGTGGCTCAGTGCATTCTAACTGTGCTGCACCCATTAGTGAATGAAACTCCTACACTGCTACTCCCATCCACATGAAGATGCTGAGTCAGAACACAGTTGCGTGGATATGTATGTGTAGACATGTCAAACAGCTGAGGTTTGAATTCAAAGCTTGAGAGCTTGCCAAGATGCTTTCCCCATGAAACTTGCTTCATCATAGGAATTTCTAACATAAAGTGGCTCATCTGTGTTTAGAGTAGCAAGGAATGAATTCTTGCTGTTTGCAGTTTGTTTGTGGAGACAAGGTCTCTTCTGTGTAACCCAGGTTGACTGAAAACCTGCCATCTTCTTGCCTCAGCTTCCTGGTACTGAGATTATATGTGTGTGCCATAATACCTAGCAGGGAGGGACTTTAAATCCTTGTAAGAAACTGAAACAAGACAAAACAAGAGAAAACAAAAACAAGGAAAGGAACACATGTCAACTAACAACCAGAGCCATCCAAGACACTTTCTCAGGCCAAGGGAAGATGTGATCTTTAGAAATGATGGTTTCTCTTTAGAATGGATGAGACCAAAGCTTTAATAACATTCTGTACTTAAAGACAAGGGGAAACTAATATACTAGAGGGAGAAGTTCAGTTATAATTACCAAACTCATATGACCAGTGGTTGGAGTCTGGGCTGGTGTTTCTTGACCTCCTATTCAAGGAATTGAAATGAGCACAGATTTGTAAATTAGTAAGGATACTTTATTCCAAAGCAAAGTTATCACAGTGTATCAGGTTAGATATACTGTCAGGAGTGACGGTGGACCCTATGGGTGAGAAAACTCAAGGGCCCCATTTGTTTTTTAGAGTTTTCTTTTATGTAATTCAAGACAAGAGGTTTGGTTGCCAAGGGATGTAACACAGGTGAATCTCTGTTCTGATTGACAAGCTTGAATTTTGTGAGGCATTGCTCACAGTGCACATCTTTCCCACAGAGCATTTCTCTTAATTATATGCATATGCAACTATACATAGGTACAAGATGATATATAGTTCATTCTCCTTAAGAGTTCACTCAGATAATGTACTCTGCCGTACCATGCATGCAGCTAAAATAGTCTAGGCCAGATTGGCCAGTCTCTTTTTTGTTTCCAGGATGGATCCAAGATATGTTTGAATAGAAATAGGATGTTATCAAGTGGTTATCAAGGGGAGTGATTTTATTTCATTGTCTAAAGCGGCCACACTGATGTAGGCAGAGGTCCTAGATGGTTAACATGTTGCGAGGCACGTTGATAGAAATGTGGTGTGCACAGTACATGCAAACAAGGTTCCTATTTACTAAGTACATTGTTGGAAGACGGGTGTATGTATATCCCAAGCCAACTGAGATCCTAGATTTCAAAGCTGTTCCCTATGATTATCGGCTTCCCTTAGGTACACAGAAGCCATTACCACTCATTGAAAATGAATTCTGGTATTTACTGGCATCCTCTCACTTGGTTTCTTGCTCTCAAGATTGGATGGACACCATTCTTTCCATGATGTTACTGAATTTCTACACTTATAGTCATGCAATAAATGGTGCTTTTGGATCTTTTAAATTGTTAAGTATTTAAATATCTTTTCTTTTTTATGTATTTTCCAATTGCCTTAAAATTCTCTTCAACTAAAAGTAAAAAGAACTTGAATTGAAACTTTACTTCTTGAAACCAGAGGATAATTGTTTTAGTCATCTTAACCTCAGCCAATCCCTTTTACTTGTACTACTTCCTCCAGAAGCTGGGCTACCATAACATCCATTAGGTCATGACTCATAATATGGTATGACTGAAGTGTATGGAGCTAAGTGTGATAACTGGCTACACAATAGGTAAGTCTAATTCATAGGGAACAGGCCTTTCCCAGTCTCTTTATCAAGAAGGCAATTATACAAGGAAAAATGTTCACACATGTTAGAAGGGAATGGAGACAGAAATGATGATAAACTCACAACACAGGCATGAAATTTATTTACCAATAGTATACATATGTAGTGTGTGATCCTTTAATCACATGCTCACTAGTACAGTGTAGGTGCATGTGCCCTCAGCGTTCTTGTGCTTCACATCAGCTGTAGTAATACCAGCGTGCAGGGCCTGAGGAGAAGTGACTAAGTCACAACGGTTCTGCCCTGCAATAGTTCAGTGTCCCACAGGAAGGATGGGGACAGCATGCCATTCCTTCCTCCACTCCTTTTCTCCAGAAAGCAGAAAGTGACCCATCCAGACATCAACTCCTCTGGCATTCTGATTTTGATCTTGAACTTGCCAGCTTTCAGAACTGTGAGCATAAAGGTGTATTAGTTATAAATTACCCATTTCAGTTATTGTTATAGCAGCCAGCACAAACAAATGGACACATAGACAGACAGACAGACAGACACACACACACACAATTGAATTTTCCTATTACCTAAATCATGGTTGATGCTTAAGTTGAACCTTTTCTGATCCATGCACTTCCTAAGGCTGGTCTCCTACAGCAACCATCTGGCAAGGTGATATCACTTTCAACCAGTATCCAAGCTATGCCACAACACTGAAACATGAATAGCAGGAAGAGGCTGGAATAGCCTCTGTGTCCATTCAAGGTTACATAAAAACATGCTTAGCACTCAAGTTTAGGAAATACATCTTCATTTAACCTTGTGCGTTTAGGGAGACGGGGGTGGTGGGGAGAGAGAGAGGGAGGGAGGAGAAAAAAAAAGAGAGAAACTATACCTTCCATTTCTTAGGTGCAAACCACCTGATACCACTAACACGTTTTCTTGGATCTAAGGTCCAGTTTCTCCTGAGTTCCAGTCATTTGAGTCTTTCTGACCACTTTCTATGAGGGATTCTTTTTTTTTTTTTTTTTTTTTTTTAACAGATCCTGCCTCAAGTTTATTTGTAAAAACAGCATGGGGTCCTGATCATCTGCATATAGTGTGTAGGTGTGTCACACCAGTCCATCTGTCTGGCAGACAGAAACCTTTTCTATGGGGCCTTCACAGGGGCCTGGGTACCTTTGGGAGCCTGAGCTGGAGCTGAGGCCTCTGCCTTGGTTTGAGCCTTGGGCTTTGGCTGGCAGAGCCTACGATCCTTGGCCATGTAGCTTCTAATCTGCTTCCCAAGCTTGGGGTGAGCGATGAAAGCGAGACGGCTGAGCTTGCTGCGGCTGGGGCCCTTTGGCATCTTGGGCTTAACTGCCTTGGGCTTCACAAGGGCCTTGATGGCCTCTGCACGCGCACTCACTGCCTTTGCGTTGTTGGCCTGCATCTTCTTCAGGCCTTTCTTGTTGTGCTTCTTGGCAAAGCGCATGTTCCTCAGGAACTTGGGGTCCACCTCCTTAAGAGATTCGTATCTTTGTGACTGGGGTTTCTTGATACCATTTCTGTGCCATTTTCGAGACTGGTTGTGTGTGGTGTGGTTCTTGGACTTGGCCATATCGGAACCGTAACCTGCGGCTCCCGAAGCCCTATTAGGGATTCTTAACTTCTGGTTGTCCTGCTTATGCCAAGCAAGTTTTACCACTCTTCATTTAACACTAATGTGTATCAGGAAATATCTTCTTGAATGTAACAGATAAAATGTCCTTGCCCATTGAAATCCCTTTTTGTTTGTTTGGGTTTTGTTTTGTTTTGTTTTTGTCTAAAATTTTTCTTCTAAATTAAGTGAAGAACCAGTAATAAACAGAACAAGTGGACTAGGGAAGGAGATAGAGTCAAGGCCCCAGAAGGCTTCACAGAACAGGAGTAGGAAGGCATAAAGGAAGCCAAAGAAGCCCATGACTCTGAGAAAGAAAACTCACACAGAAGTATGGAGATCCAAGGCCATGAAGTGTTTATATGTTTGTGTTGTGTGTGCTTGTGTGTATTTATGTGTATGTGTGTACATGCTTTTGTTTACTTGTATTTGTGTGTGTGTGTGTGTGTGTGTAGGTGGGTCTGTGTGTGTGTGTTTGTATGTATGTATGTTTGTGTATGTGTGTATCTGTATGTTTGTGTGTGTGTGTGTGTTTATGCGTGTGTGTATGTGTGTGTTTGTGGGGGGTCTCTGTGTGTATGTGTTTGTGTGTATGTATGTTTGGATATGTGTGTGTGTATTTGTGTGTGGGTCTGTGTGTGTGTTTGTGTGCTTTAAGTATATATGAGTGTGTGTGTGTCTGTGTGTGTGCATATCTTAGTAATGGTTTTATTGTTGTGAAGAGACACCGTGAACTGGGCAGTGGTGGCGCACGCCTTAAATCCCAGCACTCAGAAGGCAGAGCCAGGCAGGTCTCTGACCTGGTCTACAGACTGAGATCCAGGACAGGCACCAAAACTACACAGAGAAACCCTGTCTTGAAAAATCCAAAAAAACAAAACAAAAACAAAAAAGAGACACCACGACCATAGTAACTTGTGTAAAGAAACATTTCATTGGGGCTTGCTTATAATTCAGAGGTTTAGTCTATTGTCATCATGGCAAAAATCATACATGACTGCACATAGACAGACACAGTGCTGAAGAGGCAGCTGAGACTTCTGTGGCTGGATCCATAGGCAGCAGGAAGAGATAAAGAACCACTGGGCTTGGTTCATCTGAAATTTCTAAGCCAACCCCCAGTGACACACTTCCTCCTATAAGGCCACACCTACTCCAGTGAGGTCAAACCTTCCAATAGTGCCACGCCTTATGTACCAGTGGGGGCCATTTTTAGTCAAACCGCCACAGTGCACGTGAGTTTGTTTCTGTGAGTGTATGTGTAAGACAAATTACTAAATGGTCTTATTAATAAAAACCCAGAGACAGATATTGTGGTGAAAGCTGAGAGATCAGAGGAATATAATAAGCCACAGCCAACCTCACCTCACCAACTCCTAAGCCTCCAAAGATACCTACTTCCTGTATATCCACACCTATATACCTTTCTGCTCCTGCCATCTCACTTCCTCTCTCTGCTCAGCTCTGTCACTTCCTGTCTGTCTGTACAGATCTCCAGACCTTTATGGTAAACTAGTGTTGGAATTTTAGGCATGTGCTACTACACCTGACTCTGTTCTCAGTGTGGCCTTGAACTCAGAGAGATCTAGATGAATCTCTGCCTCCCAAGTGCTAGGGTTAAAGGTATGTACTATCATTGCCTGACTTCTATGTTTAATATAGGAGCTGGCTTTTTCCTCTGATCCTTAGATAAGCTTTATTAGTATGCACAGTTTATTGGGGGACACAATATAATACTACATGTATGTATGCGAATATCTGTGCACTGTGTATCTGTGTGTGTATTTGTACACATATGCTTCTGCATGTGTGTTTGTGTGTGTATGCATAAGTGTGTTTGTGTGTGTGTATGTTGTGTGTACCTGTGTGTGAGGTTATCTTGTCTGTGTGTGTGTGTGTGTGTGTGTGTGTGTGTGTGTGTGTGTGTGTGTTGCTACTCTCTAACAATGTACCAAAGACAAACGCCTTTTTAAAGAAGGAAAGTTGATCTGTCTCACATTCTGGAGGATGTGATGGTGCTGACTTGGGTCCAGCATGGGGTGAGGGCCTTCTTGATCCATCATCATTTGTAGTGGTTTTGCAGAGCAAATGTACCGCATCTGTCTGCCTCCAGTTCTGCCTGTAAAGACACTGATGCCATCTTGAGGGCCCTGCCCTCAGGAACTCTTTAGAAAGAAAAAATAATATTTTTAAGTGCTTGTATGTAAGAGCAGGTGCCTGGTGAACCCAGAGACACCAGATCTGCCGAAATCTGAGGGAGGCCCCAGGAGCTGGAACTACAGGTGGTTATGCACTGCTGGAAATGCCCACCAAGAACCAAACGTGGGTCCTCTGCAAGAGCAGTGAGAGCTCTTAACCACGGAGCAATCTCCAGCTCTTCCCAAGAGCTCTTCTAATCCTACTCACCACTCAAAGGCACCAGCTTTTAAAAAAAAACATTAACTCTTGAGTTTTGGGATTCTGTTCTTAGCACAGGAACTAAAGGCACATTTGAGCCATAGCAGAAACAGCCTGGATGCACTTTAAAGACCAGTGGGCAAAGCAGAGTGAAAGAGGAAGAGCATGGTAAGAGATTAAGTCTGTGTAGGTTCTAAGAAGAAAATGAAAACTCTAAACAATGTATATAACAGAGTACCACAGAGACTTCAGCAGGGACTGCTAAGGCAAAGATGAGAAATGAGTCCCAGGCCCCTGGCACCTCACTCACCTTCTCCCTGCACCAATCTCATTCCATCAATTTTGCACAATGCTTACCTTCTCTTCTCAAGGAATCCAAGTCTACTAGCCTCATTTCCAGAAAAGTGAGGCTCTCAATGCAATCAGTGTAGAAACCCAAAGAAATCTTTAGTTGAAGGTACCCGTCTCTTCTGTCTTATGTCTGAATAGAAAGATCTCTAAAACAGTTGAAAGCAAGAGACTGAAGCCACTCATTATGGGTCAGCCTTCAAGTCCCAAAACAAAGAGAAGGGGAGGGGAAAACTCCCATAGCATAGAAGCAAGAACAGAAACCAGTACCACTCCCTGTGCACGCAGCAAGCAAAGGTGTAGCATTTATCCAGCAGTACCTGGTTATTATGGGGTTGCTCTCCATTTCACACTTTTGAACTCTCAACTCCAGAGGAAAAGACTGGTCATGGTTTAATGTTCTATTTCCAACTTCTGTAATCCAAATGGGAGTATCACTGATCATATAAGTAAATGGCAATGATGCAGATATGAATATGCTTTGTTACAGACCTGAGCATTCATGACAGCCCGTGGCAGGCAAGGCAATGCCTCAAAAAGGTCACAGGGTACTATATTGGAAACTATTGTCAGTCTCTCAGTACTCATTTGCTTCTTCTAAAGTGCTCTCACTTTAGCTGGAGTTATGCACCCAGAAAACAGAAAATATCTCTTTGTAGTACTCCTTGTGTTGGGGTATAGATATGTAACCATATTCTGGCTATAGGATATAAGATGGATGTGGAAATCATATATGCCTTTTACAGGAGGAGGGCATATCCCTGTAGCCCATCACACTGGCTGAACTAAGGTTGTAGTAGTTCATAGTGAGGAGCAATGCCCTGTCACTGGCAAAGCAAACAGAGAAAACAGCATATCTCTGATACTGTGTAGATGATAACCCAGTCTGGACTGCTTATGTTGGTCTGCAATATCACTGTTATTGTGGGTCTTGATAATGAGTGACCTAAGCTTGCAAGCATGGATGATAACAACGTAGTGTTTCCTACTTTGGTATGACTGCTTCCTTCACTATAGAGTCTTGCTGAGAATAAACTCCGATAATGCTTAAAAGAGCTTCAAATTATTTCAGATAAGAGCTGTAGAAGAGATTATAATGTATAAGGAAACTCTAGAACCTTTTTTATATTTGCTATTTTCCTTCAATTTTAGAAGATTTGAAAGATTTATTGAATTTCTATAATAATAATGTATGGCCCAATTCAGCCAGAGACCTACTGCTTGACCAGAAGTCACTCTGGCTGCCAGAAGTCAAAATAGGCCATTCACCTGCAGAACGCCGCCCCCTCCCCGACTCTCTTGGTGATCCCCATGCTATCACCAATTCTCCCACCTCTCCTCATCACCTTGTCCCAGCTCCTAAATTTCACAGAGACCCCCTGCTCAACCATAGGCCACACAAGCCAGAAGACCAGAGAGGAAACAGAAACCAAGGAACAAAACATTCAACCAACAAAGAGAAATTCAGAAATCAGCACCTAGACCTGTAATCACCCCAAACCCAGATGCCTAAACACTAGCCTAAGAACACAATCAGCAAAAGCCAGGGCAATATGTCATCAACAGAGCCCAGTAATCCTGCTATAGCAAGGCCTGAATGTCCCAACACATCTGAAGGACACACACACAAAAAAGACCTTAAAACCAATTTTATGGAGATGATAGAGGTCCTTAAAGAGGAAATGAATAAATCCTTAACAAAATCTAGGAAAAGACAAACAAAAACAAATGGAGGAAATGAATAAATTCCTTAAAGAAAACCAAGAAAAAAATGGAAGGAAATGAGTAAAACCATCCAAGACCTGAAAATGAAATTAGAAGCTGTACTGAAAACATAAATTGAGGAATTCAGGAAATGAAAAATCTTGGTAAGTAAACAGGAACTACAGAGGCAAACTTAACTAATAGAATATAGGAGATAGAAGAGAGAATCTCAGGCACTGAAGATACAAAATAAGAACTAGATACATTGGTTAGAGAAAATGTTAAACCTTAAAAAAAAATTCTAACACAAAACTTCTGGGAAATCTGGGACATTATGAAAAGACCAACCTAAGAATAATAGGAATAGAAAAAGAATACCAGCTCAAAGGTCTAGAAAATATTTTCAAAAAAAATTATAGAAGAAAATTTTCCTAACCTAAAGAAAGAAATGCCTATAAAGGTTCATGAAACAAACAGAATACCAAAATAGATTGGACCAGAAAAGAAAGTGCCCTAACCACACAGTAATTAAAACA